AAGAATCCTTCAACACCTTCTCTTTTGACAATCTCAATATGGTCCCCATCGCCAGCTTTGAGTCTGTAGTTCCATCATACGGCCCCTACGACCCCCTCCCCTACCGCCACCTTCAGCATCGTGGCTCTTTTGAAACCAAGTGACACAGTTGAACTCTGTATCCGAATCCCTCTCAAACTGCTGTCGAGCGCGTGAGGGTTCATGTACCCTACCTTTCAAAAAACGAAGAGCGTCGGATACAGACCACATACCAGAAGTGAGGACGGCGTTCATGTGAAACTGCTTAGTAGTGGCTCATAGCGTTCTGATTTGTGGTAAATGATAGTTGTAATTAGCTACAACTGATAGGATACACCTGCAACAGGCTAATCATTTCATTGGCAGAAAACATTTACATTTTGTGGAGGCCGTCGTCACTTGTGGTGTATGGTCTACACCCGACGCTCTCGTTTTTGTATAGGGAGGGTAAAGAGGTGGGATAAAGACTTTTTTGATTCTCAGTTATAAAAGTGAATTAATCACACTTTGACTTTCGACTGGATAAACTCAATTCCTTCGACTGATATTGAGCTGCACACTTTAAACTACTAGAAGACTTTATACCCTGACGCGTTCTTTTAGGTCGTGAAGAAGTTCTTGCGCTTTTCGGTGTTTCTTTTTTGAACGCTTTATTTTGTTACGAATTAAAGCAAGCTGCCGATGAACTGTACGTGGTTTTGAAGAGCTTTTCTTGTTCTATCTAATAGCTAGGCATAAAGATTGTGAGGGTGGTGGTGGAGATTGGACAACGCCAACGATTAGTCGAACGTTCTGGTTGAAAAACGTTTGCACTAATCTATTGAGAGGATTCCTCCTAAAGTAATCGCACTTGTATTGTGCTTTCTTGTTGTACAGGAAGAGCTGGAAAGTCACAAGAACTCAAATAGGGTGGCCGCGAGAGCTCACCATTTGTAAGGGTCGTTCGCCGCATTCTAGCTTGTTTCATGGCATGAAAAGGACCTGAATTTTCGATCATTTGCGACGAAGAACTGATTCTTCGGTACAGAATACGAACCTTTGGTGAAGTGATCGACCGCGATCGGGCTCTACAAACTTTGCAAAAGTGAAACTTCATTGAAAGAAGGTTGAGGTGACTTTCATAAGGTCAGCGGCTGGTCTAGCTTTTCATAACCAGGTGGATCTGTTAATGTGGAAAAAGTGTTCCTGATAATGTGTCAAACTACTCCTAGAACCTGGCACATATGCTCGGAATTCTTCACTATAAAGGAACCGGCTTGTCACTGACAGGTAGCTCGGACGCACATTCCCCAACCAACTGCAGAAGTTGGACAAGATTGGCTACGAATTAGCCCTGCAAACATCCTACTCGGTAGACCTTTTGCCTATAATTTGTCACTTTCTCGACTACCTGGATAGCTTCTCCAAAGAGTTATGCTTCAAAAACCAACATGATGCGGAAACGACCTCCGCCGGGCTCATCGTTTGGAGCTCCAGTATTCTGCACTACCGGGCTGATTCAACACAGCTGTTATTGGCAGAAGTTTGTGGATTCTAACAGTCTTTACTCCAATCAAAAAGGTTCCGAATGAGCCGAGATACAGGCATTTGAAAACTAAGGTCGAAAAGCGCAAGAACTTTCTTCACGACCTAATACTTGGAAGGAATCTTTCACGAGAACTTTGAAGAAGGTTCCACCTCAACGAATCCTCAGCAGATCCTTGCGACTTTATGTAAAACGCTGAATGGCAAGATTCTTGTGCGATCAGAGTTGTTGTCTATATGAGACCGTTCACCATTGAATTTAATTGGGAATTTTGATTTTATTTTTAATTTTACGTACAGGCTTCAGGCTAAAGAAATTACAGTAGGCCTCTGAGCTCGACAGCTATGGCGACGAATTCATGTTTTAAGATTAAAACAAGTTCATCCGTCCGCTTGTGAAAGGAAAGGAACATTTCGTAGAAAGACTTCAATAAACGGCGGTACCCAGTGCCGTTTGCTGAAGTGCACCAAGAGCAGAAAACTTTTTTGCCCCCCCCCCAACCCCCTCTGTATATCAAATGCTTTTATTTCTCTAACGCAATGCATTTTTCCATGAAAATTGTGAAATACTCCTCAGAAACTACCACCCTCAGCATACCTGCAACACAACCTCTAAACGACCTCATAGCTTTCACCATATGATCCTCACTGAATGTCTCACACAGGGCCCCAATATCTCGAACGCAACTCTTTCGCACAATATAAATTCACTGGCATCATATTAATTATACATACGACCTCCCTCTCCGGAATTCTCAAATACGACTCCCCATTAAATTTGGCAAACGACGTTGACCTTCGGAAGATGTTGTTTACACCCAGTATCAAAAGGTACTACGTGATTCTGACCTTCCATCATGGTCGAGTCAAACCTTTATTTTTGGAAAGCCTTCCCGGGAAATCCGATTCAAGAAGTACCTCAACGAGTACCTAGAGCCATGATGACTTCCTCGTTCCGTCTTTTTATTCCTCCTTTTTTCTCATTTACCTCCTCCCCATGCTTTGTTTTTCAACTCTCTGGTCTTGCTCACCGTTGTTTGAAGTGTTTTTTCCTTTCTTTCATGTTTTTTATTGTTGTGCTGGAAGTTTGATTCAGTGTTTCTCAATCAGGTTTTAACCACATGAGTTACCTCATGTAATAAATATATACATATATATGACCACAGGTTCACATTGTTCCTCTTCATAAATTCTCACCTCAAACGAATTCATGTCCCCATCTGACACCTATGAAAACAGGAAATTTTTTGTGACCCTGAATCCTGAACGTGGACCACTTCAAACCAACTTGCAACTGCACTCGCCGTTTTCACCGTTTGGGCTTCCTGCATGAGCAGAAACCTTCAGGAAAATGAGCTATCCCACGAGAAGCTTTGGTCACAATAAGAAAGAAGTGTGATATGGGAAATATGTACGTAGGCGGAAGTGGTTTAGTGGCAAGTGGCACGCTTACCACGCGCGTGGTCCCGGGATCGAATCCCAGGTCGTGCTTCGCCCAGGCCAACCAATCCTTCCATCCCTCCGGGATCGATAAATTGGTACCAGACTTGTCTGAGATGATAAAGACACTAACATGTACATCGGCTGGCGCCCGCAAGTCATTGTATGGGCAAAATCGCATTCAAGCGCCATTACGAATGCACACACAGAAGGCGAATGCGTGGCGCATCCCAAGACGGGATTGATCAGAGGCGAAAGCTTTATCCTTTACCCTCTAATGATATGGGAAGATGGATTGTGAAGTAAAATGCCGAGAAAGCTTGCAGAAAGATCGCAAAACAAGACCAGACATAAATAAAGCAATTGAACTCATCAAGATAAATGGGATGCGCCATGCCTCTTCATATGTATCTGTAATTGAATAGGCACATGAGTTGTTGCTCAAACTACTGCTTTATCACCCCTTTCTTAATAAATAACCAGCTCGGAATTAACAGATGATCTCTTATCTTCTTATCTTTAGTGCCGATCCTGCCACTCGTTCAGGTGAACTGTAATGTTTCGAAAATTGTATTTCTTACGAGTTAAGAGCGCATACATAGATGCGTCTATATCAATAGAACTGCTATTTAGGAACGAGAAGTTATGAGGAAGGTGGCAGCGATGATGACTGGCTGCATTCCTATACATACTGTAACAACAGCTTGCTTCCGAAATCGAACAGTAGAGGAAAAGATTGAACGACACAAACTGAAGCCCTGAGCCAGTCCTTCAAACCGTCCTTAACAAAAACGACCCTATTTTGTGTTCTAGGGAAGGGGTTGCGTCTGTGGACACAACCCCTCTTGGGAAAAACAGGCTTCTTGGGATTTGTGCATTTTGACAAAAAATTTCAGATATATCTAACATTTTGAGTTTTAGATTTTGATTGATAAATTGAATTTAATTCAATTTTCAATTAATTTTCAATTTTAACTCTATTTTATTATTTAAAAAAATAACTAAGAATTTTCGAACTTTCGGGGGCGGAGTTTCGGTGTGTCAAGAAGAGTTAGTTGAATGCCACTGTGGACACCGTCGCTAGATGGGGGGGGGACATGCTGGGAACCCATTCAGAGGGGAGCCGTCTTGGAATTTACCCCAACTGACGCTCCACTCCACCTGAGCTTTCAGCGGCAAAGCGCATCACTCAGTCAATGAGTAGAAGAACATGAGACTGTTCACTTCTTCGAAAACACTAAGTAAATAGCTAAATCTCAATCGACTGCTCAGCGGAGCTCGTCGAAGGATTCGATCGAGCTAAGGGGGGGGGGAGGAGAACATCCAAACAGGGGACACATCCTCCCCCAGAATCCGCTCCCTCCCTAGAGCTTAGTTCCAAGTACTACAACGTCCTCCCCCTCTCCTTCAGCATCAAAGAGAGTACAGCTAATGTTATCACACCCAGTGGATAGAGAAAATTTGGCCAAGCACCACGGGTTGAGTAGACCTTCCTTTCTACTGAAATGGAACTAGAGCCGTCGGCACTTCAAACTCAACTTGTCACTGTTAGTACTCGGAATATTTATTGTGACTCCAGCGCTAGTTATGACTGGGTACTATGCAGTCACAGTTGGAAAGCGTCCATTGAAAACTGCTCCAGAGTTGCGACAGCTGCAATTTCAATGTCGAAATCCGCCACTGAGGCAGGTTTCGGTCCCAGCAACGGCCGAATGATGATCGGCTGAACGCAGTTGGGGCTATCGGATGGAGCGCTATGCGGGTGGAAACAGCTGGTTTGGTGATGGCCCTCTCGAGACGTGCGGAGGGTGCAGGAAAGAGCGCGGCACTGCAGGTGACGGGATGGCAACGGGAGCCGCCGCGTCCGCGACGGGTTGCGGTCGCCGCGTCGCTGTATCGTCGGCGCCGCTCCGCCGTGGCGCGCGATATCGATCGGCGCGTTGCAGTCGAGGCGAGGCGGTGGCCGTCGAGCGATTATTGCAGAGCGACGACTGCGACACACTCGCCACGCCGCACCAATGGGTACGTTCTTACAAAACTTCGATCGTGCAACTAAAATCTCTTATTAGTCGGCTGTACGCGGCGAGTAGCACCCATCTTGGGTATGGGCCATCGTAGAGGCATTGTTGTGATCTGATTTCTCGAAAGTGCCGAATGTCAGCTTGGTTTCCGTGCTAATTCGTTGAGAAATCGTGCTTGGAGCAGTAGCTGGGAAAGCATTCGATATTATCTTCCGACTGTTTGAGACCGTCTGGTTAGTCTACGATGTTAAAAAGACAATCAGGCGACTTGCAGTGTTTCAATAGTGAATTGAAATCAAGTGATTGCATCACTTACGATTCCCCACTTAAATTCATGCTGCCACCTTAGTGAGATCTACCGAGGTTTTCACGTTTTCTTAAAGTTCAAGAGGTTACTTTAACACACTTAACGTGGTCTTAATTTGTGCGCGATGCTATTTGTTGAAGATATGGTTCAAGTGATTGATTTGTACCAGCTACCACGTTGCTTTGCTCACAACAATCGCTAAGAATTTCCTTATTGTTAAGTAGCGCTAAATCATTTAACAATAATTGTCATGTAGTGGACTTATAAGGAAATCATTCGTTTTTTTTATCGAAAAGCGTCAAACAAGCAGAGTTACAAGGGCGATCGAGAATTCTATCGTGGACTTCAGCCCTTAAAGAAGACTTTTAGCTAGAATCGTGCCGTCCAAGTTTTCTCGAGTTTTTTTTTCATGGCTATTTCTTTACAGTAACATCACCTGGTAGTTATCCTTTTTCTTGATCGCTCACCACAGTGAAAAAAGAAAAGTTGTTGCGAAGTTCTCATGGGTCCTGCTTATTTGTTTGAATGTTGTTTCCAAAATTGTGGGCGCAACTCGCTCGTTGCATGACCAGAGTTGATAAAGGACTGATAAGAGCCGTTCCATTTGGCCTTTTTTGGGGACAGGGGTTTCGTAAGCAGTGTCAATATGACGTTTTCCACATCATGGAGATTTTTTCTGGATGGTTCTGCAGATATCGCTCACTTCCGGGTTCTGTTGTGCGATAATAAAAACATCTGTTTCATCTTTCAAAATATACGGTAGACCCAAGATTCTGGTCACTTATCGCTTTCACAAATTTCATTACACGTCCTGGACAATTTCAGGCAAGAAGTGCGAAGTCTGCAAAAAGAAATGTTCGGGTGATGTACTGAAAGCAAATGACAAGTACTTCCATATTCAGTGCTTCCAATGTAAACGTAAGTTTTTTTAGAATAAATTGTTCTGCTTTCTTACAGATATTTGCTTACATAAGTGTTAAATTTCGGCCTATTGTCCTTTCTGTCGATGCCATATGTAAAGGGACTGGATGACTCAGTTCACTGTACGTTCGTTTTTTCTTGTGGATGTGCCAGCCACTGTGTACGAGCTAATTCAATAACGATGAATCTATTCATATGTGTGGCGTATTGCCCAAGTTTAAATTCGCCTATCGGCGTACCACCATCCATCGACACTACCATACTTTTGCCCTTCATTCACTATTCGGGAATGTCTTCTTTTTTCCTATTTTCGCGGTACTTCATGATTCGTGTAGAGCCCAAATATGGCCGTTGTGGGGGTTTTCTGCTTGAAAGGGATGGTACTACTGGCAAATTCGGGTTGGAGGGGTCATATTGTGGACGTGTTGAATGGCTTTTTATCGGAAAATACTTGATGGATAGTAACACGTTCTTTTTCTTGAAACGGGGGTATAGTCACGAGAGTTCCAGAAGAGCACCTAGTTATTGATACTCGGCAATTCAAAGGGCCTGCTACTGTTTTTTTTTTCAGAATGTTCGAGACCTCTTGGCGAGTCGGGGTTCTATACTGCTTCTGATGGTTCGTATCTCTGCCCTGAAGACTATCGAGCTCTCGGTCGTGGAACCACGCGTCAGCCGGCGGTATCTAAAACACCAGATGTTGATTCGAGACCGGCGGCAGTTAATGGCGAACAAACCATTAACAACGTCAAAGATTCCGAGCAACTCTCACCATTAGGATCGCCATCTGGTACGTCAAATCCCACTTCTATACACTCTCGTTTTTAATTTCTTGTACTTTATTTTATTCTCCATGCTTTCTTCCTGTAAGGACAGCTGCTTTCGGAAAGGTCAGGGACGCATTGCGGCAACCAGGTTAACTGAATGATTAAACTACGGAAGTAGGCAACTGTGTCAAAGTGTAAAGAGGTGCAGTCAATGCGAAATGACGCACAAACTATCTATTCTCATCAATATTGCTTTCTGCAGTCTTATTGAAAGGAGGAATTTTGGAAATGTCAAATATTTCAACAAACGCCTGATGAGCAAGGTGCTGTATACAAAAGTTTTGCTTCTTTTGTTTGCAACGTTTGCTTGCCCACGGCCCGGCCGTTTGATGTATTGGCTAATTTTGTGCACCCCATATGCGGTATCCATCATCTGGTATTCGCTGTGATTTGTAGTGGGAAACGGCAGACATACCGCGCTGCGCTGAATGATTTATTTTTGCGCACGAACAGGAGTCATGGCCATCAATTCCAGTAAAAAGCAAATTTTTTTATTTAAAATTGCCGTTAGTACATGTCTATTCTTGGACTGTGAACTTCGATTCGTATAACATTGGTGATTTGTCAGAAATCGTCGGTCGGTTCCATTTGATGACTTCAAACCGGTTCTGTGCATGCATACAATGACATGTTGCGTTAAACCCCATCATATGTGTTTTGCACCCTCTAATTTCATTTCTCACTAATTGGCGGTTTGAAACACTTATACGGGACAATTATACGTTGGATGATTGATAAACACAGTTCGGGCAATGGAGGATAAATCTAACTAGGGTTCTAAATATCATGCAGATGTTTTTCTCTTCAATCAGGGAATGCCCATATTCCGTCCTTCCATAGGTTACTGTAATTCACGTCCATTGTATGCGGGTAATCATATTAGTTGTGCACACATATATTGCTGTCGTGTCCGTTTTCTTGGGGCTTATTCACATGCAAGCTAGCTGCTTTTATTGCTTACTTTATTGATTTTATTTACGAAAAAGTTCGTAGCGGCACTTGCTCGGGTGTATTTCATAGGCGCCGATTGGGTTTCGTATAAATGGGACTGGGCGCTCCTCGTAGATTGTGGCGTCCAAGCTTCGGGCCAGTCGGCGACTCGCTATTGACTTGTGTTTTTGTGGCATTGTGGCGCATCGGATTGCATGCAGCGAGAGGATGCGGTCATTCGATGTCCCTCTGCCGCATAATTTCGCCTAGCATTATGAGGGCAGCAAGGGAAATGGTGATTCGGGGGAAACTGCTGGCGCTGACACGAAAGTAGTGCGAAATAGTCTCATAGATGAAATCTGGGAAGGACGCTCATAGCCTTAGGGGATATTCAAAACAGGAGCGATGGTAGTTGACACTAGGACCAAGCTTAGGAGAAAAGAGAAGCGAGAGAGGGAAGAAGCGTTAGGGAAAACACTAAATGTTCACAAGTACTGTAGATGGTTCGCTGACTTGAATGTCCCCCTCCCCTCCCTCACCGACATGCGCTTGGAAAGAATTGAGTGGTCGTAAATGTTTCCAAATGACTATTCCCATCTAGATTGTAAGAAGATTCATAAGTGTACCTAGGCCATGCAGTAACTCGCTAGAGTTGGCCGATGTTCACTTTGTTGTTACTATCACCTTATATGCAAATTTCACGGCAGTATAATCGCGCCGGTGACAAGAGGCGAGTTCCCACTCTGAAATACTTAGAAGAATATTCATATTTGAAAATCTTAGTGATTTTTGTGCTGTAGTTCTCTTTAGGAGTTTAAAAATTAAAAAAGAATTTAAGGCTGTGTAACGGGGCTTATAACAAGGAGTATGGCCCGATGATTAAATTCTGAAACACACTGCTCCAGCCTAGTAAGCTTCCAGAGTCAGCTAATTGGTAAGGGGCTTGTGAATACAAAATGGGAGTACAAAATCAAAGACTGATCACCAGTGGGTAGACGAAATCGCCAGTGAAGGTACAAAATCACTATCGTCTAAGCGGCTAAAGCGAAGATCGATTCAAATTCCAGAACGGTCTTCAATGTGATTAGAATGTGTTACGATTTCCTAAAGAGATTCACTAGATCAAACAATTTCTCTTTTCATTTCCCGTATTTTTGTGATTCTATTTTCGAGTATCTGGCTTTTTTTTCGCACACTGTAAATAAGGAGTCTGGAACAGTTCAACAACAGTCGTGAAAAGAGAATGCTTGGTAATGTATTTAAACCATTGAAGAGCTTGGTCAAGCTTAGGGTGCGACCTGAAGCTCGCAGACATAACAAGATCAACCCTGCTTGACCCGTCCATCTGCTACAGTTTTTACTACTAAGTTCTCTACCTCCCGGAACTCTTCTCAGTGCTAAAACCCATTGAAGTTCATTGACTATATCCTTTGATTATGAGTTTGAGCCCTTGTCTTGTCAGGTATTACCTGTAGGGCCCATTCATGTCCGGGGGAGGAACGGGAAACGATAATGAAGTGATTATGTCTCCTTGATGGACTTGGTGTCTCAGCTTGCGTTGTCAACCGAATCAGATACATTGTTGTTTCAGCAGACTGTGCGGCATGCGACCAGCCGCTCCATTCTGGTCAAGTCCTCCTTGCACTTGGACTGTCATGGCACGTGTACTGCTTCAAGTGCAGGTATTACTAGATAATTTCTATCGCTTTACATATTTTATTATCATCGAGCTCCCAGCTGGCATTATTTCTGCAAAGTTGTTACCTTTTCGCTGTTAAATTAGTTTTTTTATATTTCAGCGAATGCGGTGCAGTTTTACACGGAGAGTACATGTCACATGATGGAAAACCGCTCTGCCTTCGAGACTATAATGAGCGACATGGTGTGAAATGCTATGAATGTCATAAATTCATTGCAGGAAAAGTCTTGCAGGTATGATAGCTTGTAATGTTATCATCCTCCATTTGTTTGCATATTTACGCACTTGATCGGGCGAGACGTGTACCACTGAAGCACCGTGGGTTGGAATGGGGGATCGGTATATTTGCCGCGGAAACGTTCTCTGCGCACATTTGTACAGCTAGGATCGAGCCAGCTGTCTATACTGGCAATTACGCAAGTAATCGTTCAACCTGAGCATTTTTTGCGATGTTTTGGTATAAATCAATGGATAAGAAAAAGATAAATGCAGAAACTAGAAATCATGTGGATAGGTTTCATACCAGTCTGTGCATGAACATAATCGAGGGATCTAGTTCGATACAGGCCAGCCTATCTTGGTCGCGTTTTTTATCAAAAGTTGAGTTGATGAACGTGACGCAAACGCAACCACGACAGGCGTTCCTTTTAGGTTACTCCACAATTTCCGGCGTACCTAAGCTACTCTCTGTTTGATTTTTCTTTGTTATTTTCCCGAATGTTCATTAAAACAGCGCACACCGCCATTATTCAGCGTTGGTCTGCTTATGGAAAGCAGATTTATTTTTCTTTCAGCATATCACGACCTTCTGGTAGGAGGAAGTAGTGAGACCATGATGGTTAGCGGAAGATTTCTTCCTGAGGAATAATTCTAAAAGCGGAGCAGGAGGTCGTTTTAGCATCAGGTCAGGGATGTGGTATGGGTTAGGAAAAGGACTGTTCATTTGAGCGGTTTTTCGAGTTTTCTTCGCAATGTCGAATCGTAGAATGTCGCAATGTACCTGCTGACAGTTGACTTACGCATGGTTTATGGCACTATTGCCAGATAGGAGTTCCCAGGGCCCAACTCCTCCATATTACAGCGACAGCCGAAAAGTAGCTGTCCTGGATGCGGCTGAGCATTGTCTGTCACAACTACCATCACTTGAGCTCTGACTATCTCTTATTGTTGTATTCTTTAGCACACAACAGTCCTCACCATTGGTCCTGACTATTGAATTTTTTGTCCTAATTTTCATTGCAGTAAATTAAAGGAAAATCATGGTTGGTCCAGTCTTCCTATTGGTTTCCTTGAAGTTTTTTTTTTCGAGCGATTTCAGCTGTTCCTACTCTCTCTTCTGGATAGTGGGAAGATGACAGACGCATACCCATGTTAAATCGCATTTGGGTGCTCATGGCGTTAGGGGAAAGGTCTTCTTAAACATGTTATTTGAAAACCGTGATGCGATGACACTGGAACTGAGCCCTATAGCGGGGAGAAATGCCAGGGAAACAAAATTTCCCACATTGTCGCTCCCGTATCCTTCCCCTCTTTAAGGCTTTGTCTTAAGCAATGAGTGATTTACTCACTTGTATGTTCCTCCTAACCATATTAGCGCTCGCGTTTGTGGTGGTGCGAAGTCTGCGCTTTCTTTGCTTTTTTTCTCGAAAGTTAAGCATGGCTTTGGATGTTGTTTCGGAATATTGGAATATTTACAGTTTGTGTGGCTTACAACTCTATAAGAGTGAAGAATAAAAAAGTGATGCGGAGCAAGGCGAACTAGATGTCGCACCAAAACTAAACTAGCCTCCATAAGATGGATGGACCCATCGACCGTGTAGATCGGATTTTATCGATTTGAAACGACGATACGTGCATTGCTTAATGTGCTTAGTCATGCATTGGCACCTCTGCAGGGGTTATTGGGCCATCCCAAAGCCATACAATTGATTTTTTCTTCAAGTTTGTGCTAAGTTTCGGCTTTGCCACTTGTTTGTTTCCTTGCAAAATCCTAATTTGTTTGGCAAAATCTCCATCAAGGGTTCGGATAATTGTAGTCACAGTACTCATTTGTCAATTGTAGTGGAAGGCCACGATTTCTCACTGGAACGTGTTTTGTAGTGGAAGAGGAAGGGTAGAGGGGGGGGGGGGAATGCTATGTTGTGTGTGAATAAGTTCATGTACAGGAAGGGAATTAATAAAGTATGATTAATTTCAATATTTGTCAACGTTTTGAGTGCTTTGGTGCTCTACGCCATAGTACACATTCCCCCCTTCGCCCCAACTACGCTATGATCTGCTTACGGTTCTTCTTTTTAGATTTTTTTCACATTTTTTCGGCTCACTAATCATCAACATTCATCTGTGCCCATCATTTATTACTCCGGCGCCCTTTTTTTGTCTCGTATTACTTCCTTGTTGGTTTTGTCGTTATTATATGAGCGCTACTAAAATCCTTGACATTTTCTGAGAAGTAGCGGGTTTGCGGTTGAAAGCGCTCGCATCTTGACTCTTCTGCCATTGCGCTCACCTAACAATGCGAAAGCTTGCACTCAAATTTTTTTATGAGAAAGAAATAATTTGCTCTTTTTGAAGTACCTTTTTAGGCCGGCGGCTACAAGTTCCATCCCACATGTGCAAGGTGTTCCCGGTGTGGGTTGCATTTCGGAGACGGTGAGGAAATGTATATGCAAGGCGACGAAATCTGGCATCCGTCTTGTGAGCATTCTCGAACCACGGAGAACATTGCGGTGAGTTTTCCTAGGAAGTGTTATCAGTGGAGGGGTTTTTCGATAAGGATAGCTTCCGTGAGAGTGCGAACAGAAAAAATTCTCACAACAACATCCAGAACATTGTAGATTTTATCATGAGAGGTTATCGAATACTGAGGGGGTTCTTTTTCACTTTTTTTTCTAGTCTTTTGAACTTGAAAATGAGACGCTTTGCTCCATCAACTTCATCTGTTTCAGCCCACGGCAAAGAGTGCATCATTATCTTCTCGGAATGAGCCAAAGTATCAGTCAGCTTTTGGGCAACATCTTACATACATGTATTTGCTACCAGAAGCTGAGCAGACTTATCTACGTCATCCTATAACAAATCCAAAGGAACCAAACGCACCGCAATTCCACGTACCTCTAGGTACTTTCAGCTTTTCATTTATAAAACCGTTAAATTTTTGGATTTCTCTGGCTCTATACACATTCGTTATTTTTTCAGGTCCAATTAAGATTCGTAAATCTCGTCTTTCTATGCTCAAAACGGGAATGCAGCGTTTAAGTAAGTGAATTTCAACCATGTTGCGTTATGTTTCATTGTAATGCTTGCAATGCGATTTTTCGATTGAAATAAGGCAGTTGGTTGCTGTTTTTTTGATGAGTCGCAGTGATTCTCTTTGATTGGTTTCAGCGGAGGATCTCGAAAAGAATGTGCCTCGTCCGAAGTCGCCACACATGGACAACGAGGAGCCGATTGAAATGGCGCATTATCCTGCCGGTCATGCCCCAGATCCTGATAAGGTCAGCTCCTTTTCGGTCATGTTCTCTGTTCCGTGCCACTCTCACCGTTGAACTTTTTTTTCAGCTTCCAGCCATTGAACGAGACGATTTTCCAGCTCCTCCTTATCCGTATGCTGTGGAAGGTTGGTTGTTGCAATTTTGTTCACTTAAGAAATGTCTCATATTATCTTTAGAACTGAAACGACGATTGTCAACATCTTCGATAGAGAATGAAATTTCTGATGATGAGTTATCCGAAAGCGAAAGGATTGATGAAGACAAGCTTAAGAAGGTACCTAATTTCTCTAAATGGAATTATGTTGTCCTACTCACAGTGCTCCCGTTTTGTTTTACTTAGCTTTGGATGCATCCGTTTTATTTGAATATTCATAACATTTCAATCCTATGAATGCAGGTTCAATTGCAAATGAGGTGTACATAGATAAGTACGTGATACGATTTTGATTGTGTCAATGTGACATTTCAGACTGTTGAACAATTGGAAAAGTTCGATGACTCGTCGATTGCGCATGTTATCAAGCAAAATATAGAAGAAAGCCATAAGAAGCAAAGGTATCAACATTACTGCATGTCACTGTATTATTTCTTTATCAATTTGTTTTTTGTTTTAGACTTCCACTTCATTGGGATCCTCGTAATGCTAGTCGTACACCATCAGCCAAAAAGATGCCACATTTGCGTTTCCGTTATGATGTTCCAATCAATGCGTGTAAGTCTTGGATAGAGTAATATAAAAATTTTCCGATGTTGCGGTCATGGACGTAGGCGTGTTGCATAGTATGGTATAGGCAGATGTGAGACTTTGCGACCAATTGCTTGCGATCACGCGATTCGCTATGGATTTATCGCCGAGTATGACACCTGTCAGAACTTTGCCTGCGTGATTGTGGTTTTAAGAAAAAAATTTCTGGCCGCTTAAACGCTTGACTCCTTAATAGCCTTCTGCAGTTCTAGCTGAGGTTCAGAACAGGGATAGCAGTGTTTCACTAGCTCCTGGAAAGATATCACTTCATGATCGCACTTCAGTCGTGACCAAGTTTGTTGTATAAGAAAAAGAAAATGTCGTTATTAATGAGACTTGTCCTTCCAGCACCTTCTCGTCATCTTAATCGTCCACGACCATGGGTTGCCTGGCAAGGTGGTGAACGCGCTCAAGGAAATACACTGCCATGCTTCCATGTACCAGAAAGCAGAGGTAATACTCGTTCGGATATCCTAGAGAGTTTCCTAAATTCCTGTTACTTATCGCGGTTTTGCACAAGTTTTTCCCATGTTGGGAAGTAAGGGGTATTCACAATGAGATCACACCGCCATATGCACTGCCTTCCGCCTTTTATTCTGTACACAGATATGAAGGTTTTCTTCATGCGCGTGAGTGTAAAGTGATAATGGTCTGAGAGGAGATTGTAGTCTTCGCTTGTTTTTTTTTGCTTTTCCCGTAAGCAGTATATCAGAAAAGCTTGACTTGAGCTTGACTTGAAAAGTGAGGTCATTCACTTATTATCAACCATCATCGGAGCTTGGTTTAATAGGGAAAAAACTTTCAACCTGGCTTTTGAAAAAAAAACACTACTAAGGACTTGCATATGTGCATTGTGCTGAAGATTTACATAGCATTATTCTGAAATAGAAAGGCACCTCCCTCGCCAGTCCCTCTCCGATACCTCAAATGCAAACAAAACCCGCTTAACTTCTTTATATAGTGATGCTAACAGCAACGTGGAAAACAGCTCTGCACCGAGAGCAAGTACTCGCAGAGAGCGTGGATTTTTCATATCCTGTCGCTTGACTCCCCTATTCTGTTTATTAGTTTTTTATGGTTTCAAACAAAGATCGTCTCAAAATCAGTCTTCGGTGACAGCTTAACCCTATAGTTTCCCGAAGTTAGGTCAACATCTCAAAGTTTATTACCTCTAGGGCGCTTTGACCCCATTAGTACGAAATACCACATTGGCCCCAGGCGTTACCCTTCACAGTCACATTTTCGAAGAACGCAGAAGCTGTAATTGACACCTCCCCTTCGCCGATATACCCATGGGGGAATGGCTAGCCAAGAAAAATGGTATCATATGGTCTAGAAAACTTGCAGATTCATGGTAGACGTAGCTACAGGCAAACGTTGATGGAGCAACGATGTTCTGGAGTTTTTTTTGCAACTTTTCTGAAGAAGCAAAAAAGCGTGTAGAGTGGTGATCCTACATTTTGGTTGTGGGTCCAGACTCCACCCCTCTCTTTTCACAGCTCGCTTCCACCTCACTCGCGTAATGTGTTGCTTTCGTGTGATGGTTGTAAGTTTGCAGGGAGAACTACCATTCGAAGGATCGCTCTCTAGATATAAGAGGCAGATTTGAGAAGTGTCTCATGGCACACGCGCTGGTATACATCTCACATTAAACTGCACACCTACCTAGGATCCTTCTTCCACAATCCGTGGCCATTCCAGGCAGCACTATGCGAGCAGCAACTCTTCCGACCGGGTACAACTACGGGACACTTTCTATGGAAAATTTAGACACTACTATCAGCAGTCAATACTCAGACCGTGAGTGGTTTTTTTTTCAAATTTCATAAACAGGAGTGTTACTGCCAAGGAATATCATTACTTCTCTTGACATCTTTTTCCTTTTTTAGTATTGTATGTGGCGTTAGGTCTGGGTTTTAACTGTGCAAGCTCCCCCTTGTCGCCGTGGCTATAACATTTAACTAACGCTCTATGCGCCTCTCAGTAATACTCCAGTGTGGAACTGTTTGTTTTAAAGATTCTCTGGCTGGCACAATGGGAGGTATGCGAACTGTTGGAGAAATGCGCCACACTTTGCGCTCTTCACTTCCTGATATGAGTAAACCGGCAAAAATTTACGATCTGGCTGATCTTCAGACAACGAACAAAAAGTTGCCTGAGGATGTCGATAGGTACGTTTTTTGAAACATATATACCTTCAATTATAGTTTGTTTAAATAATCAGAAATAAGATAGTATTTCTGCGTCCCCTGTCTTCGGGCTGTTTTTGAGTTCTATTTTAATGCTGAATTTCTTCTCCGTCAAGCACTACTACGAGTTGTAAAGTGCTTGACGGAGAAGAAATCCAGCGTCATTTTCAATAATGCATATGGAACGTTTCAACACACGAAAAACGCCAAGTTGATTAAGCAAAACTAGTCTGCCCTATGTGAAAGTGGGCATGACGTCATGTCACACGGTTGTCAAGGTGTTACACTTGTTATATATTTTGCATATGTTCATGCTTTTTACCAGGTTAACTTATTATTTTACCCTCATATATGAGCACACATTTCAGGCAGCATTTGGAGCGACATTTAGCTCGCGATGAGTTTGAGAGGCTGTTCGGCATGAGCCCGATCGAGTTTTATAAACTGCCTGAGTGGAAGCGTATCAACCTGAAGCGCAAGCACAAGCTGTTCTAGTCGTTTTATATGGAGCTTTCGGTCTTCGTTCTGCAATCTGCTCGTTGTCAAGCTGTTTACAACATATTCTTATATAGACAGTGCTAGCTGTGCACGGTTATCCCAGGCAGCACTCGCGAAAAATTTCTAGTGGAGAAAAAGGTCATGATTCTGCCCGTTTACGTTCATTGCACAATAAACGTACTGGGTAAGGTGAAGTAGAAAACTTTTCCCAGCGCATGAACTGGACCTTGTTATGTCTCATGTGCAATACTGAACACTCTCTCCTAGCCTCAGATTTGATAATGGATGAATCGTGGCAGCAGCTTCGATAACGGCCAAGATAGGCTTGTTCGAAATGTTCATCCAGGTGAAGCTGAGCTGCACCATCTGATGTTATTTTTTTCCACATTGCCGCTGGTAAACTAGTTGTTCTGTGATGCGCGTAAGGTTACTTGTGCCTCCAAACAATACGTACTTTGAAAGACTAGCGAATGCGAATGAACTGTTGGAGAAGTAAGATGATGATGGTTCAATTCACTGGAAGAGTTTAGTTGGCAGTGTTTAGAGCGTAGGATATCGAATTGGATATGTGCCAATCTCTAGTATCGCGAGTGCTGGTTCACTAATGCGTACCCTATTCCGAATATGTATTCGTGTCCTGCAGCAGCTTTCTGTTTCGTTGTCCCTGTCCCCCAGCTGCTAGCCTTTGGGCTGCATTCGCCGGTTACCTAGAGGGTTATAAATTTATATGTTCCCAAGACGCGAAGACAGCCTACGTTTGTTGTCGCTTGTTTTCGATCCTGACTGGCTCTTTCATCGAGTCATTGGAAAGACACACACCCACACACATACGCCACTTAGCGCTTGATAAAGTCTTATTCGGCATAATTTTTGCTTTAGATTATTTGTTATGAATTCGTGATTTATTTTTTCGTTCGTCATCGCACAATTCGTTCATGTTGAGCCAATGCACATCTACTATCAAATATGGCTTTGCGCTGATGATCTGAAATTGGCTTTTTTTCTAGGAAATGGTTATGTTAGCTAAATTTTGTTTCAGTGTTTATTTATTTTTTTTTTACACAAGCTATGCCTTGAATGCTTGTGAGCTGCGTAAATTATACGTGATTTGAAGAAGATTTAAAAGTTTTATAAGAGATTTCTCTTCTGTCTGGGCTTCTGGTCAGACTGGATGTCCTGCGCGTTCTCTATTGCCGCTCCTAGCAAACGTTAACATTTGTTTTGTGTGTTAAATGTTCATTTCCAGTCATCTGCATGCGAGCTCCCTAGCTTTTCTATTGAATGACTGGCCTCGTGTGTCGTTTATTTTGCGGTTTGTAGACCCAAATAGCCATTTGAGTATTTGAATAAATATTACAAAAATCGGCAAATGATGTGTTTTTGTATGATGAAAGAGTCAAGAATTGGATTATCAAAGATTTGGATTGGTAGGATTTGGAACGCTTTGCCATCAAGAAGTTCGCAATGGAAGCAGTGCCTCTCTGATTCTTGCATTTATTCACAAGGGAAGCCGGATTCTCTGGCTGCCTGCGGAGGCCAGAGAGTTCTGCCTTACAGACTCAACAGCAAAAGTGACGACGCCTTCCAAGTGAGTCTGATAAGCGGTAGGTTATGGTGATAACAGATAGCTGATGGATTAGAGCTGTAGTTAGCGATGCTGACAGAATACAACTGCAAGAGGCTAATTCGTTTGTCAGAGAATTCTCGCCTTTTGGAGGCGCCGTTACTTGTTTGGTGAAGTCCGCATTGAGCACGTATCTGACTACTGGAGCCAGAGAGTGGAACAAAGTGGGCGTTTGAAACGAGATGTCTGCTGCCTGATGTACCTTCGCATACTATTCAAAAAGTCAGTTCTCTATATTCGCTGAATGACGCTACAAATAAGGTTGTGGAGGTTTTGTTGTCATATGGGATGGGATGAGGGCGAAGTGGTGTAGCGGAAAGTGGCACCGGCTTACCACGGAGACGGTTTAGGGCATAAATATTGGATCATGATCTGTGCAAGGCAACCAAGCCTTCCATCATTGCGGGTTGGGATGATTGGTACGAGACTGTCTGAGAGTATAAGAGCCTGACTCGCACATTTACGGAAGCACTTTTCGAAAAGACTTCTCAATAATCGGGAAGTCGAGTTCTGTAGTTTTCAATGGTATCCACCGATCTCGCAAAAACAGCTTCAACCAAATTCCGCGATGGAAAGGGTAAAATTCATAAGGTCAGATGCCGAACGTTATGCTGCAAAAGTAATGCCAGTATCAGCTCCAAGCTGAAGCGGGGAAGCGGCTGCTTCAGAAGAAGTAGAAAGGAGAAGATAATGAAGAAGTAGAAGAAGAAGAGAAGAACCATAACTAAAAGTTGCGTAAGGATTACTGTCAAGCTTAGACGTACCCGGCGCGCAGAACCTCCTCTGAGTTGTGCGGTCAGTATACGAGGACGTGGGCCACTGAGAAGAGGGGGGGGGGATGATCTTGCTCGAAAAACTAAATCTGATTTGGGAATCTGGACGTGAGATCATTAGCAAAAAAGTCCTGACAGGCTGCTGCCGTGCTGAAGTGCTGGAATATGTGGGTCGTACATTTTGTCAGAAACGCGCATTGAAGGAGCTAAGCCTAGGGATCTTTGGCAGTGTGCAAAACTATACCACAACAAAGAAGACGCAAGAGGAAGTGTCCACAGCGGTAGTGCAGTCCTCCACAAGTGAGGTTACCACTGGTCCCGCCGCACTCTGGACAGAATATGAGGTGCACCCAAAAGTGACTGTGAAGGTCAGGAATGCGATTGATTCGGATCGGGTGAAAGAACATGGGATAGAGTGGCTCAAGCGTCCTTAGTGCAGTAACTGCATAGCGAAGGATATCGGATGTCTGGAGGTCAATTCTTTTGTCTCCATCATCTAGCAGAATACAGGCGCGGTACAGTGTCCGCGGGTGTCATGAAGCTGTGCAAGCGGCTATTCGGTTAAAGCTGGGAAATCGGCGCCGATCCTTTAGGCACGGAGCGGTTTTGTGTCTGAAAGGTACATGACCGACGTCATCTCCAGCGCAGGACAGGTAGTGAAGAAATAAAAGAAAGCGCTGGATATTGCGCTGGATATCAGGCATAGCAACGTCTTACCATACCGCCTTCACGCTGTTGACATACTTGAAAATTCCTTCAGGATAAGCAGATGTTGATGGTCCAGGCGATGTTGTTTGGATGAGCCCTTTGGATGAGCCTGAGATCGTTAACGACCACATGGAGTCGAGTGGATTGAGTCTGATACATAAAAATCTAGGAAGTCAATTTGGTCTCATTCGATCGGCATGAATTCCAACAAATTGGCTGGGCATCAGGCTTCCCCCAGATTTGGTCCGCGAACAGGCTCACAATTTTGCTATTGGATCCATACATTCTACCCACATTCCATTACGACAAGTTTTTTCTTGTAATCTACAATCACTAGTATTTGACACAATGAGACGCGGTTGCGCGTCTCCAAGATCGCGCCCGCTAAACTGCTCATGTCCCACGTGTCCAAAAAAGCCAAAACGCGCATTGTCGTCAACGTGTTCAGTTTATACTGTCACGTTTAAGAAAACCTAGAGAGCTGCAGACGCCCCGATCCAACCAGCAGCAACTCCATTGACTTCATTTTAGCTCTCTTTGGATCTCCGGTCATTGTATTCAGTCGCTTAGCTCCGCTGATCGCATGCTCAACCGTCGAGAACTTTTCATCGGTCTTCGAAAGCGGAGCGTCTGCAGCCCACGCCAATAGCCCCTTCCATTCTATACTTCTGAGTTACGCATCCAAAAAAGCTTTTAATTTTGTATCGTAAGGGTGTATTTCACGTACCGAATGCGTAACCCTGTTCTAAGTGAAACCTTAAAATTTCCGACACATTTTTATCGAAATTTCTCCTTGACCACACTGGGTGCGCCGCCGGAAACGTTTTCACAATAGTAATACCCTTCTCCCCCTTTTTCTTGGTTAGATGATAGACCAATCGTCAATTTGAAAAATGACCAATAATCTAGTAGTAACTTTATTTCACCTTATTTTTTGTTTTATTATGCTTGTTTATTTATTTACGTATTTAATTTATTTTACTACCTTAATACCTAGTTCTTTCTGTGCTTTGAAAAATTTCGCGATGATTTTCTCACTTAGAGCAATGGTAAATAAATCAGAGAAAACGACCCTATCTGGTGGTGTGCTGAACATGGTGAGACGCGCGGTCCCTGAAGGGTTAGTTCTAGTAGTGAGTTCTTGGGAGACGGCAAATCTGGGAAAGTTTGGCTGGTTGTTTGTGAAAGTAGAGATAGAAATCCCGTTCATTCTGATGAACTGAAGTCATTCAGTCAGCAATCAAGTTGTGAGGCGCTGGCGTCACTGGAAGGGGGCATTAAACTGACTGAGTCACTTACAGTAAATGGGAGTAAGCCTTCGAGTGGGAAAGACATTTTGGTGAGGACGTGAGCAATTTCGTCCTACCTGGCTTTCTCCCCTCTTCTATTCTTAAAGGCACGCTCCGTGATTAGGAGCGCGCACCTGTTCCATTCCGGGGGAAGCCGATAGTTCGACAAGCGTTGGTGTCGCGCCCCTTTTGCGGCTTGGAAGTGCGCGGCAAGGGCGCAAGAAGCTCGTCTAACCCGCAACTCACACCTTCTTTCGCAAGCCCCACCCTCTGCTGTCGGTTGCCACGTGGCGCTGCTTGAAAAGCACAGGCGCATTTGAGACGGCGGTCCCAAAGCGGCCCAATGTTAATGGCACTGGAGCCACTAGTATTAGGTTTGTGAAACACGCCCAACGAGCCCCTTCTCTATCTCTAGGTGGAATGTGGCCGAAATCAGGAAGGCCTCTGTGCGGGGCGTAATCGGTGGTTTCGTTTGCTATCCTTCGTTATTCCAGGCCACCTCCCACCTCTAGCTTCATAAATGAACGCTTTTTTCACACGTATTTTATCCCGAATCTTGCCTTTAAGCCTAAAGTCACCTAGCGGCGATTTTAAAACGCC